TCAGTGGGTTAAAGCCTCTGCCTTTGGCTCAGGTCATGATCCCAGGGTCCTGGGATTGAGCCCCGAATCGAATCGGGCTCTCTGCTCAGCAGGGAGCCTGCTTCCCCTCCTTCTCTCTCCGCCTGCCTCTCTGCCTACTTGTGGTCTCTGTCAAATAAATAAATAATCTTTAAAAAAATGTTTTTATTAAGGGAGATTTCAAATACATACTGAAGTAGGCAGAATGCTATAAGGAACCCCCATCTTCAACACGTACTGTCTCACGGCCCATCCTGCTTCATCTGATACTCTCCCTCCCCTGTATTGTTTTGAAGCAAATTCTAGGTGGTATATTTGACTTGTAAATTTTTCAGTATACATCTCTAAAAGATAAGAATTTTAAAAACATAAAAAGTGAAAGTAATCATAATGCTTACTGTTATCACACCTGAGCAAAAATTCACTATAATTTCTTAGTATCAGTATTAAGTGGGAGGCTTTTTTCTTAACAGGCAAAATAACAGTACACAGCAGGCATGAAAGTAACTTGACTGAAACTAGAAAACACCAGCATGTCCATTAAGTGACCGCTTTTGAGGGAGCCCGTGCTGGCTCAGTGTGATTAGGGGTTTCAGCCCCAGCTCTGCCGGTAATACCACCTCTCCGGGCTTTGGTTTCTCTCCACCAAGAAAAAGAATCTATTTCAGGGTTGTTGTCCAAGTTAAACAAAACAACCTGCTTAAAGTCACTGGTACAGTGCAGGTATTAAATACATCTTGCATTCCTCTCTTCCTTTTCTCTTTTAGCTACAGTTCCATTCTTATTTTAGACGACAGTTTGTGTTAGAAATGAAGGACCCGTGTCAGATGATATAGCAGTGTAGTCAAACCACGGCTATGGTCATGAAAACTCTCCCGTGGTGGGCCTACTGTCAGTCAGATGGGAGGCGATCAGCCTAGTGAGAGCAGATCCTCTCTCATGGAGTGTGTTAGGTTACATGTCTTCAGTAGATCTTACCTTCTGAAAACACGTGCCACTGACTTTCTGGGAGAATTACTCTCACAGGTAGCTGGCATGTTCATCTTTCTTACTTTGCTCACAGTTGTTTAGGTGCAGTCTTGTGATACCTCTGATACCTTTTTGATCCAACTGCTATGTCGGGAGTTATCAGATCTTGAAGTCCTTTCTGTTGGATTTTCAACCCACACAAACTTCTTTCCCCCTCTTTTCCTCATCCAACGTTTTTCACTCCTGGAGATGAATAGGGCATAGATCCTGACCTCAGGGAACTCAGTTGAAGTCTAGTGGTCACAGATAAATACTTCTAATGATCTATGGGAAGTGCTGATGGGTATCTATAAAATACTAAGGAAGGTGTTAAGACTTCCTGGAGGAGGTGACATTTAAGTGGAAGCCTGCAGGATGAATAGGGATTCTTCTGGTGGCATGGAGTTAGAATAAAGAAAGCTGAATGAAGATGGTGTGTCTCTTATCTGCCCGAGGCTGTGATAGAACACTCCCTATTTTTAGCCCCTGCATTTTGTCACCCACTGGTGCCACAGACTTTTCCAGTGACCTCTTGTTTCCTCCCAGGACCCTCTCCCTGCCCTCCTCCCCATGTCATTCAGTGACACCAAGATTAAGAAATTGGTACTAGTTTTAGATCTTTATAGGGCAATAACACTTTCATTTTACTCTGATTTTCATGTCAGACTTGACACTGGAATGGCCTTTTAAACTTTTACAAGTAAGAGGCATTTTCTTTGGATACACACCTATAGGTGGTTCTTTCAAAACTGGCAGTGTGTGTAGAGGCATTCAGAATTGAAAGCATACAAGTACTCAACCTCTAAAAATTTGAAAACCTAAGGGGCTGTTCAGAATCATATGAAGTATACTATCATTGGCAGTTTATTTTCAAAAATAGGACTAAGCACAACAGTAAACAGATCAGAGCTTGGCCAAGAATCTTTACAAAGATGATGGTCATGCTCGTGTGATTAAACTGTCAAATCGTTCATGATGCAGATAGCCCTATCACATAATGCTGTTCGGGACTTAAGAGTGTCTATTTAGACACATCAAGGACCTATTGACATATTTTTTTCTTACTGATTGTTGTGATTTTTGTGTATGTGTGTATTTATTTTAGGAATCTAATAGAATTTCAAGGCTGTCAGATACCTACAGAAATCTTTTTTTTTTTTTTTTAATTTATTTGACGACAGAGATCACAAGCAGGCAGAGAGGCAGGCAGGGAGAGAGGAGGAAGCAGGCTCCCTGCTGCGCAGAGAGCCCAACGTGGGGCTTGATCCCACGATGCTGGGATCATGACCTGAGCTGAAGGCAGAGGCTTTAACCCACTGAGCCACTCAGGCGCCCCACCTACAGAAATCTTAATGCTCATTTATTTCTTTCTATTTATGCATTTGAAATATTATTTTGTTCATTTTACTCCTGTTAAGTATTGAATCATACTGGTGATATTGTTAAGTCGTAATTACATACTACCTCTTAATTTACCAAGAATTTCATTTTATACGGAGCATGCTTCAGTTTAATAAATTTATTTTATAGAAACTTGCCATTACGGAACGTACGAATTTGGGATCACATTTGTTATACTTTAAGTGAAACTCCTTCTAGTTTATGTTTTTTGAGATGCCTATGGGGCCTTCTTGCTGCTAGTGCTCATGCCCGTGCACCGTTGCTTCCTGGTAGAGTGCAGCTAGCTGAAGGTGGAGGTGCTGGGCAGTGAGGGGGTGGGCCACAGATCTAGCCTGTGTGGTAGATTCCTTTGGACTTGTTAAAACTTTTTACAGAAAACTTTATCAGCCACAAAGCTGCCTCCTTTGGCTTCGGCGTATTTTCAGTCCAGAATTTACCACTGCCAACTGTACAACAGCCATCCACTTCCCTTGCTTTACTCATGTGTGCTGTTTACCTGGCCCCTTGTAGGTAGGGGCTGGGGAAGGGGATATAAACCATTGAAAGTTTAAAACAGCAGAGTAACCTTCAAATCATACATGTGGGGCAGTAAACAGCTTGTTTGTACTTCTCTTAAATATTTTCCCCACAGTCTTAAAGGTCAGATTTTATAGTGCATTTAAGGGGTAGATCAGAGTAAGGGTGTAAGGAAGGCAGCTGTGTTGTGTAGGAAAACACGCTGAACTTGAACTCAGACCGTCCTGAGTTTCCCTTTAAGCCTGGCCACGTGCTGTATGTGTCACCTTTGATGAATTACTCGGCCTCTGTGAGGTTCACTCTCCCAAACTGGTTACCATTAGCGATGCTGTGCATGCCCACAGCAGGGCTGTGGGGGAGAGGACGGACCTCATGGGGTCAGGGGTGTCAGGCCGACTCTCAGCCCTTGTTTGTTAACTGGGTAATAAGTGAATGTTAGGGCCACACTTCATTTTTAGTTTGAGTCCTGCCCTTCAAATGCCTGGAGGTAATTTTCTGAACCATATTTATTATTTATCTCGACTTTATGGGAAATTTAACTGATCCCCTATTGACGTATCTGCAGCCTAATGCTGAATGTTTCCTTTGTGATAAATACTATCTTTGTATTTAGATACATACTCGTTCCACAGAGACTTAAGGACCGCCCTCCATGCTGCGTGTTGTGCTTGGAACTGTGGGGAAACAGACTAGCCCTGCTTGCTTGGTTCATAATCCCACCGACGGGGAAGCCAGAGGATGGGGCCGTGTGTAACTTCAGGCCACGTGGGTGGTATGCAGAAGTGCTTTTAAGTTGAGAGCAAAGCAAAAATTAGCCTGAGTTGCCCTTGACGGAAAAACTTTCATGGAAAAGATGAAAGTTCAACGGACCCTTCAAGGCTGGGGTTATGTACGTTTGGAATGAGTACAAAGGGCATTAGGAGGAAGCTAGAGTGAGCAGTGGTCAAAGGACAGAGCAGGCCACCGACTTAATTAATCATACTTTCCTTCTGGAAACACTTTGGTCTTCATCAGCCATGGTTGTAGGTTTCTTCCTACCTTTTTAATTTTATTTTACTTATTTTTTAATCCCTAACTCCACATACTGACATGTGGCAGGTGCTTTAGAGTAGGGTTTTATGATACTAGATGCCAGCCATCACAAATAGAGTCCTTTGTACCTTTGTGTCCTTTTTGTTCAGCTGGGGAAGTAGGCTGTCGGGAAGATGGAGGTTTGCTGTGTCAGGAGCCGTCGTTGCCCCTGAAGCTTTTAACTCTGCTGCTCTGTGGGGCCCAGTCTATAAACTTGCTATCTCCAGCCTTAGCATCCATCTCCAGGACACTCAGAAGAAGGAGTATTTGTTTATAAAATTTTAGATATAAGACATATCAGGAAAGGAATTGGCCTTTATTGAGCACATGCTGTGTAGTTACTAGACATGCATTACCTCATTTAACCTCAAAGCTCCTTTGAGATTATCTCTTCTAACATCTTAGATCATATCACAACACTTAGAGGAGGAAGGAACTGTCAATGGGAGACTAAGGCTCAGGAATATGGGTGACTTTGGACAAGTTAACCAAGTTAGTGATGACAGGTGATCCTTGAACAACATGGGTTTGAATTGTGTAGGCCCACTTCTATGTGGATTTTACTTTGATAAATACAGTACAATCTTCTAAATGGATTTTCTCTTCCTTATGATTTTCTTAGTAACATTCTTTTCTCTAGCTTGCTTTCTGGTGAGGATACAGTTTATAATAGATACAACATACAAAATATGTGTTAACCAACTGTTTATGTTATTGGTAAGACTTCTGGTCAACAGGCTACTAATAGTTAAGTTTTGGGGGAGTCAAAAGTTATATAAGGATTTTCGACTGGGAGGGTGTCGCCACCCCTCACCCCTGCATTGTTCAAGGCTCAACTACATGTGAGAATCCAAAACCGAAGTGTTCAGTTTGTAGCTTCAGAATTTGTCTACAACTTCTATTCCATCGTCTATTAATTTAAAATTTATTGCAGACAAGGGTGACATACCTCTCCATATAAACTCTTCATGTTCTTTTGATTCTAGATTTCACACATTGGCAAACTGAGAGATTTTCTTCTGGAACACAGGAAAGATTATATTAATGCTTATAGGTAAGTGCGTATTTTTTTTACCATGGCTTTGGTGACTGAATTCTTTCCCATACCTGTATTCCCTTTGAGCTTCTGTCCTTACTTTGTACTTACTAACTCAGAGTTGACTTGAGGAGGATCAATTTGGTGGTGGCATCTGCAAGCAGGTGGGAGCTCCTGTATCCAGGGAAACCTCTGCTAGCCCACATGCCCTTGGGGTCACGACATCCCCACAGTGTGACCTTCTGTGCTGATGCTCCCATGTTTGTCTCTCTTTAGGTACCATAGACATTGTGAAACACATAGACATGAATGAGACAGTTTCTCAGTACATGCTTATCTAGCAAACAACAGAGCAATGCAAGTCATGTAAACATGCATGACAAGAACCCTTGCATCTAGGGAGGGTTTGGTTAGGTTGCTTTTTCAAAAGAGGAAAGCATTTTGATCAAGACTTCCAAAGTGGGTTCTGGAATAGACCCCCAGCTTTCAGCAGATGCAGGAGCATTATAGGGCATACGCCTTGTCCCGTGCTTGCCTGAGCTCCACTGGCACCTGGTGATGGTGTGGCCTACCATGGGACTGCAGTCCAAGTGTCCTGTGTGAATTAATGGGAAGGTTGGGTGGGACATGTGAAATGTCATCAATGGCAGCTTTATGCTTCTGAGTGTATTTCATTGTATAATTTTGGAACGTAGTAAATCACTCTTAGTGCCTAGTACCAAGAAGACCTTATTTAAGTTCTCAGTTAAAATACTAGCTCAACACTAGATGGCAGTGTAAACTTTATTTCCAGAGGTGTACATGGATATCAAGTTTATAGTCCATAAAAATGGAAGCTGTAGTCATTTTGGAAAGCTTAACAAAACTGGCCCAAACCTCTTGATCCAGCTCCTTTCTGGAGTGCCTGACTGTTTATCTTATGTAAGTGTTTGTAGAGGCCTTTCATGGAAAGCCACTGTTCACTTCCCTTTGCCTTGAATAGGCATCCAACAAGGCGAATGTTTTAAATGTTGGTGTCCTTCAGGCCACCCCACTCCCTTATTGGCCTTGTGAACCTGAGAGAGTCACTCTGTAAAACCCAACATCGTCTCTAAACCAGGGGTTAACCAACCACCTCCTGGAGGCCAAGACCATCCTGCTGCCTGTTTCGTACAGCCCGTGAGCTGAGAATAGCATTTGAACGGCTGGGGAAAAGAACAAGATTTCACCCCATATGAAAATCAAATGAAATGCACATCTGAGTGTCCCTAAATAAAGTTTACTGGAACACCACCAAACCCATTCATTTACATGTTACCTTTGGCTGCTTTTGCACTACAGCAGCAGAATTAAATGACTGTGACAGACTACGTGGCCTGCAAAGTCAAATGTATTTACTCTCAGGCCCTTTTCAAAAAAAGTTTGTGGAGTCCTGCTCTAAACAGAAGGTTTGATGACCCCTCCTTCACTGGCTCGCTGAGAGATTCACATAAGACAGTATCATTGAAATGCAGTGCATTTCCGTGCATTTATAAGATTATCGTATAAGGCTGCTGTTACAGAACAGTAGTAGTTTTAAACTTGTGGTTTCAATGGCGATACTAAGGCATTTATTTCTCCTCAGCTCCCACACACTGTGTGTCCTGATTCACAGATCACTCCAAGTCCTCTCCCCGATGTCACTTGTGACAGCCAGCCACTGGCCCAGGGTTTTCTCTTTCCCAGCTACTGGCAGCAGACGCTCAGACTGACGCCCGGGATCTCCAGGGCTGGTCCTGCTCTGCCACTTATTTGTCATGAGTCTTGAGCGTCAGATAGAACTCTAGCTCCCGAGGCTTTCTTGGTCTTGACGAATCCATTACCTCATTATAGAAACTCAGTCTTTTACTGCTTTTCCCAGTGGCAGCTGTTCATTGCCAGCTCATGCATTCTGCATCCACTCCTGCCGCTGTTATGGTCCCTTTGACAGAGCAGGGGCCCGGGGCGGGGCGGGGGGGGTGTCAGTCACACCCAAGTTCAGCCCCATTCCTGCCAGGTCATGCGAGTGCCGAGAGCTCACTTCCCGTCTCGTGCTTGTTCTCTTTTTTCCATGTGGATGATGCTCTTCTGAGGATTAGATGTGCTTTGTGCGAGCTCTTGACACACAGAAGTCCCTTGGTGAAGGGTAACCGGACTGGAACCCCATGTGACCTAGGATGAAGTTAGAGGGGTGGGCGGTTAGAAAAGAACACACCTCTCCTTTCTGCCGGAGATTGGTGGGAGGGAGGGAGGAAGGTGGGTGGGTGAGATACAGGGTCAGGTCAACATGATGGAGGGGACGAGTGATCAGCTTGATCGCTGGTAAAATACACGGTGGCAGGCAGAGCTTAGGTCTGGGAGTGGGCGGCCTTATTGAAGGCTCCAGAATTGGACTCACTGAGCCATTGCTGCCACTGAACAGTCGCAGTCCCTGGGGGCAGGCCCCTTTCTGGCACAGGAGAGAGAGGACGACAGCAGAGCTTCTGCCATCTATAAGCAGGCAGATCCCAAAGAGGAGAGAGAGCAAGGAGCTGTGGCTAGGTGCATGCGTGTGTCCCTGTCCGTGCCTGGTTCCTTCTGCCAGCTTACCGATCAGAGAAAGAAGTCCCCTTCTCCCCTGCCAGGAGGCTAAGGAAGGCAGTTGGGGGTCGCATCAGGGGAGCTGATTCACACAGAAACATGAGGACTAGGGAGCAGGCTTCCCCTCAGCGACCTGCATTCTCTGATGGAAAAGGGCTGCCCTTCTTGGCTCCCATCACGTTCTCCTCCGGACGGTAGTGGTCTGTAGCCTGCTTCTTTACTGCTCCTGCCTCCCAGTGCTGTGTGCTGGCCTTGGCCAGGAACATTTTGGACGGAGTACGAACATGGAATTGAAAGAAAAATTGCCTTCAGACCCATAAAGCTATGTTAGTTTGACATAATTAGGAAGCTGTAATTTTTTCCATAATGTGGAGCTCAGACTTTATTGACCCATTTAATTTTTTTTAGTAATGACATTTTACTAGAGCAGAACAGCACGCAACGGAGGTAGCCTCTGGCTGGATATCTTGAATGATTTTAATTAAAAATAATGTCTCCACTTTTGGTGGATGTACCTTTTCTGCAATGCCTTGGCAACAAAACAATACCACTTGGGGGTGAAACTTCTTTGGTTTCTGTTTTTGCTAATAGAATAACCATACTGTCAATTTCCAGCTTTAAAGGTTAATGTATAATGTTCCTAAAGGAACATCACCTTTTAATTGAGTGATCGGTTTTGTCAAATTAACCTTTAGACCTTTTCAGTTTCACTGGGCTGAGTTTCCATTAAATCAAAATATAGAGTAGAAGGATGTTAATCTAATGTTCTTGGAATTAGTCATTTATAGGTCCCTTCCACCCATGGGGCATGTGTTCACTTGGAAGTGAGTACCTTTCTTGTTTACTTGTCCCTGACCCCTCTTGCCTCCATTCTGATGAGACCATTTCTAGTAGGAAAGAGCACAAGACTGGAGGCCTCCCCCTCCTTCCTGCTCTCTCTCCTCTGCTCTGCCAAGGGGTTTGGGGAGGAGGGACAGAGCACGTGCCTTATGTAGGGCATGTTCTGTTAGCATTACCTGGCATTACCATGTGAAGCCAAACTAGGTAAGCAGATGTGATGCTGGGGAGTATTGGGATAGGGAAACAGTCACCTCTCGTTCTTCCACAATCCGAGAATTGTGGGTCTGTGGGTCCTGACTACCCATTGAGGGTAGGGCCATCTATTTTCCAAGAACCCAGGGGCTGGTTTCTGTCGTTCCAGCTCTCCCCCAGAAAATGAGGAGCTGGGGTTGGGGGCTAGGAAGATGCCATATCCACAGGAGACTTAACTCGTGGCTGGGACTGAGAACCCCGAGCTCACTCCTCCCTTTTCTCTCAGGAGGGGCCTCTCATCAAGATGGAGGCAATGGCTTTTCCAGGGAAGGCTCTGGAAGAGCTCTGCAAGGGGGTCTGTAGGGTTTGGGGGGGTGGGATAAAATCAGCTGGGGAGGGGCCTTATAAGGAGCACAGTTGCAGTTGGATGTCAGGCCTGTCCTGCATGCGCTGAGTCAGGCCATTCAGAAAGCGTTTGATTGTGATGTACTGATTTATCAGCCTGCCAGATCCTGTGCCTTGCTCTTGATGAGGTGGATATGGCAATGAACAGACTAAAGTCCTTGCCTTCGTGGAACTTACATTTGACAAGAAAGAAGAGTAAACTGTGTAGAGTGTTAGAGCTCAGTAAGTGCTTTCAGGAGGAGGGGGCAGGGGAAGTGGCTCGCATATGTCCGGAATCAGTCTTATGAAGAGGTAGGTTAGGGAAGGCCTCATTAAGAGGGGGACATTCAGTAAATACCTAAAAGAAGTAAGGGATCAGTTTATATAGATATCTGGGGAAAGAACATTCCAGAAGAAGACAGCCGGCAAGTATAAAGATCCTGATGTAGGAGCATGTTTGGGACATCACAGGAGCAGTGAGGGGTCTGGTGTGATGAGGGCAGGAGGGTTGGGGTTGATAAAGGTGAGCTCAGAAAGATGGCAGGAACCACATCTTGTGGGTTGTCTTAAGGATCTTGTTGTGTTTGCTAGAACCTTGGTTTTTATCAGTGGCTAGGAAGCCACTGGAAGGTCTTGTATGGAGGAGCGATAGGACGCAATCTACTTTGTAACAGGAGCAGTTATGTTAGGACATAGGACTGTGCTGGAGCAGCGGACATGCTAGGAGACTACAGTTAAGTCCACGTGAGGGACGTCAGTGCCATGAACCAGAGACATAGCCATGAGTGTAATAGCATGAAGTCAGATTCTGGAAATATTCTGAAGGTAGGGCCAAAGAGATTTGCTGATGGGTTAGGCAGGAGTTGGGAGAGAGACAGAGGGGTCAGGAGGACTTGAGGTGTGGGTCCTGAGCAGGTGGAAGGAACAGAAGTTTGAGGAGAGCAGGCCGGGGCTCAGTGGAGGGCATATTCACAAGGTGAATTCAACAACCAGGTGGAGGTGTAGATCAGGCAGTAAGATTTGGG